CAAAGGTCGGAAGGTCTTCAAAGCTTGTAATGTAAGGCTTAGGTAAAGAGTAGGAAATATTTGGGAAAAATGTGAGAGTAAAGCTATGCTTAAGGGAGCCAAATCCTAATAAAACAGGGTCAAAAATAGATAATGACCACAACTCCAATCATAAAACTCAACTCTACCAAAAATTCACCAAACATCCAACACTTATTTCTTTCAATCATACTTACAAATTCACTCATATATATATACATCATAAAACTCAAGTGATAACAAACCTTGGACTCTTTTTTTTCTTTTCTCTTTTTTTTTTTTTTTGAAACCTTCAATAGAACATTTGAACATCAAACAATTTTTTTCCTTTGCTCTTTTTTACACTGTACTCACTTGGACTTTTTTCAACTTTTGAACACTTTTTCTCAATTGTTTTTTTTCAATCCACAAAATTAAGAACAAATAAACAACTTCTCAAATCCACCCAAAACTGTGCAAATAAATATGCACACTACAAACTCCCTCACCTCACTCACTAATAGCTCCCCCAAGCCAAGCTTGGGACTAGTAACCAATGGGGCAAAATAGGCTTGTAATGTGGCTAATAAACAATAAAAGGGCACAAGCAACAACATGGGTAGCAAGAAGGGAACAAATGTATCTAAAATCATCTGAATGCCACCTAAAAGAACAAATGCCTTCGTCCTCCTCATTGTGCATAATAGTGAGTCATAAACCAATACTTAACTTCATTAACATACCAGGAACTTTCACACATTCCTAACCAAATCAACTAGTCAAGCACTATATTCACAAGCAGTTGGGCAAAATTGACTCATGTTAAGACATCAAAGCAATCAAACATCAAATCATGGCTAACCTATCCACAATACTCATCATCATATACCAAGAATCAAAACAATTTTCATGTATGGGGCACAGGGAAGCATGATTCATAATTCATTGGAACGTATTTTTGTATTTTTTTTTTCAAAGCAATAAATCTACCCTAGAAAACAATGAAAAATTATACTAAAGCACACACAAAAATAAAAATAAAATAAAATAAAATAAAGAAAAGAAAATATACCTACATCCAAAATCTCCCCCAAGCCAGAATCAGACAATGTCCTCATTGACTCGGGAATTAGTCCAGCGCGACTAATCATCACCATCCTCATCCATCCGGCCAGATCCACCGCCACTGCCACCTCACGTCTGACGAGATTCATCAAACGGTCACGCTGATCGGATGTAGTAATCCGAATGGTTGGCCACAAATCCGGAAGTTGGAGCTTCGGATCGTACTGAACTCCTTGGCCCGAACCCGAGCCCGACCCCAAAACGGGAACACTTCTTTGTCTCTTGAACATGGCGAAATTATGATTGTTGAACCCTTCAAAAGTAATAATATTAGTATAGGAAAAAAAAAACTTGAAATTTGGATGAAGGATGAAGGAAAAAAACGTAGAGAGAAGTTAGAGAAAAATGGAGTTTTAGAGAGAGAAAGTAATGGAGGAAGGAGAAAGAAGGAAGAAAGAAAGTGATTCCGGAGAAAAAGAGGCGCGCCCGGCCGGGCGACCTCTCGCCCGGTCGGGCAATCTAGACGCGCCCGATCGGGCGTGATTTTGCCCGGTCGGGCGAAATAAATCTGTAACGTACCTTAATCTCGCACCCAGTCGGGCGAGCTTCCGCCCGGTCGGGCGCGAGATTTGGTTTCCCAAGTTTGTTCTCGTGCCCGGTCGGGCAAGACTTCGCCCGATCAGGCCAGCTTTTGCCAAAAAACTAACTTACTCTCGCGCCCGGCCGGGCGAGCCTTCGCCCGGTCGGGCGGTTTTTTGACGTTTACGAAGATCTCTCGCGCCCGGCCGGGCAAGCTTTTGCCCGGTCGGGCGCGAGGCTGAATGTTTAGTTCGTCAAAAATTCGCTAGATTCTTGAATTTTTGGCTAACTCTTTTTCTCCAACCTGCGTCAAAACACTCTATAACAGTGTTAGTTCCCTCTCTCTGCCTCTCTAAAAAAAATAAAAGATTAAAGGGAAAAATATAGGAAAAATACGGGTTGCCTCCCGCAAAGCGCTGGTTTATCAAGGTCTCGCACGACCGTCTTACCATATGTTAATCAAGATGAGGAGGGATCGGTTAGGTGTAGTAATTCAACTGCACCTATCGTAGCCCCGTCGTGATACAATTTCAATTGTTGACCATTTACCTTAAAGAAACCACCGCGATCATCATATAATTCAACATAACCGAATTTATTTGTCCTTTTAACAGTGAAAGGACCTGACCACCTTGACTTTAACTTTCCTGGGAACAGTTTAAGTCTAGAATTAAATAACAAAACCTTATCACCCTCTTTGAATTCTCTCGGAAGGATCATCTTGTCATGCCATTTCTTGGTTTTCTCCTTATAGACACGTGCGCTATCATAGGCCTGCAACCTAAACTCATCTAACTGGTTAAGTTGAAGTAACCTTTTCTCTCCTGCTAACTTGGCATCTAAATTAAGCTCTTTGATTGCCCAATAAGCTTTGTACTCTAATTCCACTGGGAGATGACATGCTTTTTCGTACACTAATTTATAGGGAGAAGTATCAATAGGGGTCTTAAATGCAGTTCTATATGCCCAAAGGGTGTCATCTAACTTATCACTCCAATCCTTCCTAGACTTTGCTACCACTTTCTGCAGAATAGCTTTAATTTCACGGTTTGAAACCTCTACTTGTCCACTAGTTTGGGGATGGTAAGCTAAACCTGTCCTATGTTATACTCCGTACTTTTTTAGAAGGGTGTCTAACTTCCTCTCATGAAAGTAAGATCCTCCATCACTAATTACGGCTCTAGGGACTCCAAATCTAGGAAAGATGATTTTCTTAAATAATTTGTGAACCACTTTGGAATCATTGGTGGGTGTGGCAATGACTTCTACCCACTTAGAGACATAATCAACGGCAACAAGTATATAACGATTCCCTTTTGAGGAGGGAAAGGGACCCATATAATCAATACCCCAAACATCAAAAATTTCAACTTCTAAGATACCTGTTTGGGGCATCTCATGCCGCCGCGAGATGTTGTCAGTCCTCTGGCAAGAATCACAAGCTATGACAAAGGCCTGAGCATCCTTGAACATGGTAGGCCAATAAAATCCTGACTCGTTTATCTTGGCGACTGTCTTAGCAGGGCCATGATGTCCACCATAGGGGGAGTTGTGGCAGCTAGTGAGTACTCCATGGACTTCCCATTCGGGAATACACCTGCGAAACAAACCATCTGCACACTCTCTAAACAAAAAAGGATCATCCCAAAAATAATGTTTAACATCATAAAGGAATTTCTTTTTCTGTTGATAAGACAAGTCAGGAGGTAGAGTAGCACCCACTAAAAAATTAGCATAATCTGCATACCAAGGGTGTTGCTCTACAACTGAGAACAAGTGATCATCAGGAAAGGAATCATCTATAGGGAGAGAATCTTTACCACCATCATATCTGATCCTAGACAAGTGATCTGCTACAACATTCTCTGCTCCCTTTTTATCTTTAATTTCCACATCAAAGTCTTGGAGCAAGAGAACCCAACGGAGAAGCCTAGGCTTTGTTTCTGCCTTAGAAATCAGATATTTCAGAGCTGCATGATCAGTAAAAACAATTATTTTAGAACCAACTAGATATGATCTAAATTTTTCTAAAGCATATATGACAGCAAGAAACACCTTCTCTGTGGTAGCATAATTGACTTGGGCTTCATCCAAAGTATTACTAGCATAATAAATAGCATGTAGAACTTTGTTCTTTCTCTGTCCTAGCACGGCTCCAAAACTGCAAAATCACTAGCATCACACATAATCTGAAAAGGTAAATTCCAATCGGGAGCACATATGATAGGTGCCGATATTAGAGCCTGCTTAATCTTGTTAAAAACCTCAAGACACTCATTAGTAAAATAAAAAGGGGCATCCTTCAACAAAAGCTGAGTTAGTGGTTTAGCAATTTTAGAAAAATCTTTGATGAAACGGCGATAAAATCCCGCATGACCTAAGAAACTTCTAACCCCCTTAACATTAACTGGTGGAGGCAATTTCTCAAACACATAGGCCAAATGGCATCCTGCGATATGCAAAAGTACCATAGGGACAAGTAAATGTAGTCTTTTCCTGATCATCAGGGTGAATTGGAATTTGGAAAAATCCAGAGTACCCATCTAAATAGCAAAACAACTTATGATTGGCTAACCTTTCAAGCATTTGGTCAATGAAGGGTAGGGGAAAATGATCCTTCTTAGTGGCTATATTTAATCTACGATAATCAATACACATACGCCACCCTGTCACAGTTCTAGTGGGAATTAATTCATTCTTATCATTTGTTATTACTGTCATCCCACCCTTCTTAGGTACTACCTACACAGGACTAACCCACTTTGAATCAGAAATAGGATAAATAATACCTGCATCAAGTAATTTCATCACCTCTTTCTTGACTACTTCTTGCATATTAGGATTCAACCTTCTCTGAGGTTGAATACATGGCTTGTGGTTCTCCTCTAAGTGTATCCTGTGCATACAAAAGTCAGGGCTAATACCCTTCAGATCATCAATACTGTACCCAATTGCCCTTTAGTGAGTTCTAAGAACCGTTAAGAGTTGGGAAATCTGTGGGTCATCAAGTGCAGTACTAATGATCACTGGGTGTAATTCCTGCTCATCAAGAAAAACATATTTTAAATGAGAAGGAAGAGGTTTTAATTCAGGTTTCTTTACCTCTGCAGGTTTTGATTCTTGAACCAATTTTTCTACCTTCAAATTTTCTTTAGGGCCAAGCTCTTCAAGGGAGAGAGCTACCTCTATAGCATCCACCTCTTTGCTCCATATGCCAGCATCACCTGTAGTAAAATCACCACAAAGTACTTCCTCCAAGGGATCTCTTGCAAGAACCTGTGGTAAGCTGTCTTCACAAATAGTGTCAATCACATCAATAACTTCAATACTACAGCAATCTTCCTTAATCATAGGACCTTTTAAACCTTCCCTAAATTAAAAGTAATATTATCATCTCCTACAGAAAGGGTTAGTTTTCCATTTTTCACATCAATAATGGCTCCTGCAGTGTGGAGAAAAGGTCTCCCTAAAATTATAGGAATTTGCGTATCCTTAGCCATGTCCAAAACTACAAAATCAACGGGGATATAAAATTTTCCTACTCTAACAGGAACATCCTCTATAATACCTAAGGGATATTTAACAGTACGATCTGCCATTTGCAGGGTAATGTTAGTCACTTTCAAATCACCCATATTAAGTTTTGCACAAATAGACGATGGCATGACACTAACACTGGCACCCAAATCACATAAAGCTTTATCTATAAAGACATTACCGATATGACAAGGTATAGAAAAACTTCCAGGGTCCTTTAATTTTGGTGGAGATTTTTTTTGTAGTAAAGCACTACATTCTTCTGTGAAAGCTACAGTCTCTACCTCATTAAAAGCCCTTTTTCTAGTCAAAATATCTTTCATAAATTTAGCGTATGCAGGAACTTGTGTAATTAATTCTGTGAAAGGGACAGTTACCTGCAAATTTTTCACTACCTCCAAAAACTTACCAAACTGCTTGTCCAACTTTGTCTTTAAATGTCTGTTGGGGAATGGTAGTTTGATAACAGGTTTCCCTACATCTCCAGCTTTGGGTTTAGTATTACCCTGCAATGCATTATCAAGAGAAGGGTTAGTTTTTCCCTGCAAGGTATTATCAGTTGAAGTACTAGATTTACCCTGCAACCCTGCAGGGCTAGTAACAAAGTTATTTAACCCTGCAGAATCAGAGCTAACATTATTAGATATGACAATTTCATCATCAGGAGGCATAAGAGGGCCATCATAATGTGCACCACTCCTCAAAGTAATTGCATTAGCATGATCTGTGGGTTGTACTGGCTGTGATGGCAGAGTTCCTTGTTGGCGATTTTGTAGAGTAGTAGAAAGTTGAGCAATTTGATTGTCAATGATTTTATTATGGGCTACTAAGGAATCAATTTGTGCATCTTTACTCTGCATGTGCTTTTGCATACTAGCCAACATGGTTTTAATTTCTGATAATACAGGATCAGAAGATGGAGGAGGTATTTGAGGTGGGGCTCTTTGGTTAGGTGGTTGGTAGTATTTTTGTTGTGGTTGTTGTGATGGTTGGGGTTGTGGTTGTGTTTGTGGTTGTTGTGGATGTGGAGGGTTTTGGACATTTGTACTTCGGTAGGAAAGATATGGATGATTCCTGAGGCCAGGATTGTAGGTGTTGGAGTATGGGTTATTTTGCCTATAGGTCTGAAAGGCATTAACTTGCTCCATGGAACTCCTGCAATCTTGTGCCCAATGACCTACAATACCACAATTATCACAAAAAGTTTCATTAGAATTATTCACAGCAAAAACATTAGCTACGGGAGCAAGAATAATAGTACTAAGATTATCAAGTTTCTGACAAATAGAGGTTAATTGAGCCTAAACAAAGGATACTGAATCAACACTATGCTTTCCCTTGTTGGAAAAACCTCTAGGATTCCCATATTGGAAGTTGTGTATTGCCATCTCTTCAATAACCGTTCCTGCTATATCTTCATTCAGATTCATAAATCTCCCATTAGCTGCCGAATCAAGGATTGATCTGGAAGAATTCCCAAGCCCGTTGTAGAAGGCTTGAATAAGCTGTCATTGTTGCATCCTATGGTGTGGGCACTCTCTCTGCAGATCCTTGAATCTTTCCCAAGCCTCATATAAACTTTCATCAACCTCTTGGGAAAAATTTGTGATTGAACTCCGTAGTAGAGCTGTTCTCTCTGCAGGGTAATATTTATTATAGAAATTCAAAGCAAGAGTATCCCAGTTAGTAATACCAAGAGCAACTCTATTCAATCCATTATACCACAATTTTGATTTACCACATAAAGAAAAGGGAAAAAGGATATCCCTGATTTGGTCCTGCGTGACCCCATTTTGCCTAATAGTATTGCAATACTGGCAGAAATCTAAAATATGAAGATTTGGATCTTCACCCTTAGCTCCGCTAAATTGCTTCCTTTCAATCATAGTAATAAATTAGGGCTTGATTTCAAATTGTACTCCTTCAAGGGCAGGTGGAGGAGTAAGATGTGGGAAATCTACTAGGGACGGCTGCGAATAATCGCTGAGCTTGCGAGGTGGTTGGTGCGTCATCTCTGCTTCTAGATCTGAATAAACTTCTGTATCACTAGAATCAGATGGTGGTTCCAAAAGTATAGTACCCTCGGAAGTAGCTCGTACCTGTCTAAAAAGGTTCTTCTGTCTATGAAAGGAACGTTCAATCTCAGGGTCAAACGGAATGTAACCTGATCTAGAACTCTTGGGCATAAACACATAACTAAACAAACAAGTATGAGAAACTGTCCCAAAGAACTTGCGTTCTCTGAGACCAAGGAAAATAATTTAGACCACAAAATAAATAGAAATAAAAAAAAACCGTATCCCCGGCAACGATGCCAAATTTTGACAGGATCTAGTCGTATCACCTAATCAAAAATAATTCCTAAGTCCTCTAACTAAAGTAGATAGGGAAGTAGGGTCGAATCCACAGGGAAACAGTGTTCTTCTATTCCTAATTAACAATTATAATCTAAATTATCAGGTAACCAATTTGTATTTGTATGAATTAAACTAATAATAAAACTAAGCAAATTAATCAAAGGAATAATCAATAATAAAAAGCTCTAGGGTATAGGTTAACCAATAAATAATACTGCAGGGTAAAACATACGATCAATTATCAATGCATAAATTAACCAGATTATAAAGGGTTGTCGCTATGTATTATAATCACATAATTAATCTACTGGTATTAAATCTCATCTCTCGAATCTCGACCTAACCATTAATAGATTAACATGCCTATTGAAACTAAGCCTAAACATCAATTCTCATCTGTCGAATCTCGAATCAATATTGCTAGACTCATACAATTAAACCAGGCCTAATCTAATGGCATAGCATTAAATAAATCAATAGGAAATTAATCAATCATCCATAATAAACAATAATAATTTACCCCTTCGTATTATTCATGGATCCCCACAACCCTAGAATAGAAATCTACTCTAACATAATTGAATCTAAACTAGACATGATAATCCAAGAATGAATGAAAATAACAAATTAATTAAATTACGGAAAATAAAGTGAGAAAGAAATCGTACCAAGAAACGGAAAATAAGGAATTTATTGATCAAAAGGTTTAGAGAGAGAAAGTACTCAAGAACAATAAAAAGCTGAAAATCTAATCTTCGAGAAAAATAATACTAGGCTAACTAATGGAAAACGTAAAAAACTCCCTTAATTGCTTACTAAAAAACATATTTATACTCCTACTAAAATAAACCAAAGATAAAAATTACAAAAATAATAAAAAATTCCCTTCAGAAACACGCACCCGGTCGGGAAAAGGGTCGCCCAGCCGGGCGAGCCTTTTGTATGTCCTGAAGCTTCCTCGCGCCCGGTCGGGCGCGCATCCGAGCGAAGCGTGCCCGGGCCTTCTCCTCTAGCCCGGCCGGGCGCGCCTCAGGGCGAGGGCACTGCTCGGTCGGGCGAATGCTTGGGCTTAATCTCCTTCGTCTTTTGGGCCTTGTTACCTTAGCCCAATTCGTCATCCTTTTTGGATCGAATTGCCCAAGCTCCAAATTTCCTCATTGAGCCCTTAATCACCGGATTAAATCATCAATTACGGTCTAGGGCTTCGAAGCACGATCATAAAAATACGATTCAACTCCAATGCTCGCGGTGGCTCCATTAAATGCCGGTAAATGTTCCAAATCTGCAGTTTCCTGTAGAATAATACCACAACTACGAAAACACTAGAAAACGCATATTAGTAATAAAATTGGCTCTAAAGAGCCAAAAATACTCCTAACTATGATCACGGGACGGGGATAAAATACTATATAAAATGAATACATCAATAAGTATTCACTCCATCAAGCACGTCAATTGCCATATTTAGCTAATCAAACAAGCAAATTGATCCCACTTTACCGATAGCAAAGTAGTACTCCGTCAAAATGCTGAGCACCTTCTTAGCTTAGTTAGGATAGCATCTTTGCCTCATTTACTCATGGTTTCACTACCTTATATTCTCTTAACCTAGTATAAAGATGAAAGGAAAAAGTATTGGCAAAAAATTGCACCTGGTGACCAACTTTAGGGTGTGGCTAAATATATTGAATCTGACTTCTATGACCTGTTGGATTTACACCAACTTGCTACGAAAAGAACAAATTTTACATGAATAACATTATATTGGGACCTATTCGCCAGAAAGTTATTTTTTACCATTTAAAAATCCTTTAAAGAATTTTAAATAAAAGGTGAATATATATTTAATGAATTCAATCACCTAAATAAAATTTAAAAAATACCCCACCTAAGGTAAGTTTGTATGTGCTTAAAAAGTTCCTGTGTTTTAACTCATTGAAATTATCTTCTCACTTTTTATTTTAATTAAAAATACTAAGATATGTTTTAAAATGGCATCAAAACAACTTTCTAGAAAATGGGTCGCACGCTGGTTTAAATATGTCAACTTTGTTTTTAGCTAGTTGGAACTATTTGATAATTGGCACAAGCTAGAGTCAATAAATTTAACACACCCCAAAGTTGGTGTCAATGGATGTACCATAAGTATATCATTAAATGTGTGTTGTGTTCTTGTTTGATTTATACAGTAAGACCCATGGGCCATGGTTACTCATAAAAGTTGGAAGATGCATAAATTCATAAAATCTTTGTCTGTTCTATTTTTTTGGTGGTACTTTTTATTTTTATCCATTCTTTTTGTTGGTTACACTTTTTCTTTTATCCTATTTTGGCAAACTTTCCTCGCATTAACTCATCTACAACCACTCTACTCTTTCTTAACAAAACCCACTTACAACACTTTCTCTCCTACTCTTAATACACATATCCCACCTTTCACATTCCCTTTCCACCTCTCATTGGTCTATGGTATGCACATGAAGTATTACTAACATATAAAACCGAAGGCAGTCTTAATTGATAATCCTATCATAGTTTTGAAATTGTGAAAGATCGTAATCTACTTTTTCCAACCTCTTGTATCTTCTCATGTGCATTCATTTTGTTTCTGTGATTAGTTTAGTTGTCTTTGACATGTTGTGCGGTTGGAGGGTCGAGAAGGGTGTAAAAATAGTTGTAGAATATATTGGATATGAGGATAGTGTTATATTGTCTACTTCTGTGTGTCTATTGGCCTTGACTGTCATTACATAAGAGACATTTAAGGCAGTGAATATTGTTTGTTGTATTTAGTGATTTTCATTTTCAAAATGCCTGATTTTTTTGAGTGTGACCATCAGTGTGTCCAAATGCCGATATGTATATCATTATAGGACACTCCTATATGCCATTATACAGTCAATCTTGGTAACGTTGATGATGTTTTAGTGAACTAAGGGTAATGTACATGTTTTGACTTTGGTCTTTAGTATCTATATAAATTTTGTATGAATATCATATTGAATGAAGAAGGGACCAGAATTTTGTAGAATTCGATAATATCTGACTGAAAGAGCTTGGTGAAGCAAGTGGAACTAATTCCATGTTTGAATGATGACCTGTTAAGAGATCAAACCTATACCATGGCCTATAGGTATCTTTCTCTTCTGATATGGTCCGCTATTTACTTGAAATATTGTGTTTTTCTTGTCAGGACGTTATGTTTCTCCTTTTGCTGCTGAAATGGTGAGACTTAGTTTGTCCTTGCCTTTTGACTGTGCAATTGGTGGAAAGTGGAAATTGATAAGTTGGATAGTTGTTTGGTTGACATACAAAAGCAAAAATGGAGGAAGTGGGAATTCATGGGAATTTCAACTTCCTACAAAATATGAAAAGTAAATTACCAAGCCCCCCTTGGTTAATCAGGTTTCATGGGAATTTGAAACTCCCCCTCCCTTTTTCTTCCCCAATTCTTCACTTTCTCTCTCTACTTTCCAAACCCTACTTCTCAACTTACATACTTTAAATCTCTCACCCTTTCTTCATCT